CGCCTCTAGGAGGCTGGCTGTGCAGCCTGCCCCACGCCTGCCAAAGCTTCTCCAGAGGCATGAAGTGGGGGGTTGAAGTGGCAAGTGAGGGGAGTCTCAGACTCTCACCTCTCAGGTGATCTAGTCCAAAGGAAGGGTGAGGTGGGAGGACTCCTCTGGCTGAGCTGGCCTCTGCAAGTGCAACGGCGGTAGCTGGAGGGTTATTTCTTGTTCTCCTATAGTTAGAAAAACCAGGTCCCCCAAACTGCAGGAAGCTGTTTCCTTTGAGCCTGAGAATAGCCATGCTAAGTGTATGCACTTGTGGCTGAAGTTGTTGTTGAATGCACTGTGTGTCTGTAGGGATCTGATTGGAGGTGGGGATGTCCTAGTTTACTACTTCCCTGGTTGTGATGCTGAAGGGAGTGGGTGAAGGGGGCGGCAGGTTTCCAATGCTTTCTTTTCTGTTTTGCTCCCCCTGGTGGGAGCATGGTAGTCCTAAGGGAGGCGGCTACAACTGGGCCAGAGTTGGTTTTCATCAGGATTTTCCCCCACCTTAGTTTAGTTTTCTTTTTTTAATACCTGTTATCTGCTAAGGACTGTGTGTGAGTGATAGAGCTAGGAAGATGGGAGAGGGAAATTGCCAGGTAATGTGAGCCTTGGACTTTCTATCATAACAGTACAAGTAATTAACTGAGCAGGTTCTACCTAGAGCCTTTGCATTTGTTATTTCCCTGCTTGGGCAGTCTTTGTCAGGTATATGTGAAAGCATTTCTCATCTTCTTTAGGTGTAAGCTCAACTATTACTTCCTTAAAAGACCTTCTCTAAAATGGGGGCCTTTTTCTACTGGTACTTTTTCTACTTTTCCTTTCTTCATGGCACTAATCACTATTTGATATTATATGTCTATGTTTTATTGTTTATATCCTCATTAAAAACCTAAAAGTATTGTCTGTTTCATTTACTGCTTGTATCCCCAATGTTTAAAGCAGGGTCTTGGCCTATAATAAGTGCTCAGTTAATATGTATTGAATGGTAAATAGATTATCTCCATTGATACAACTCACTGAAATAGATACTTATTAGTATCTTCATTTACACATGGGAAGTTTGAGTCTCAGAGAAGCTAAGGCACTTGCCTATGGACGGAGGAGCAGAGTTGGGATTTGATTCTAGGTTTGTCTTAAGCCCCTTACTAAATTAAGGAACTTTGATTTATTCTATGTTGGCCTCATTCTCAGGCAAGCTGTCTCCATATGGTAAAAAAAGCTGGAACCTAACAGCTCCAGAGAGAAAAGAGCATCCTATTTCCTGATACTTCTAGTAAAATTCCCTGGGAAAACTCTCATTGGTTGGGCTTGGGTCACATGTCTGCTCCTGAGTCAATTATTGGATCCAGAAGAATTATTTCTATGACTGAACCTGAGTTATATGACTACTGTTGGAGTTAAGGTGGCAGTGGGGGGATCACCTCTACCAAACCACATGGGTTAAAGATGTTCCCTGAAAGACAGCTGAGGTTTGTTTCAAGAAGAAAAGGATGTGTCCAGACAGTACGGCACGTGGACACTGTCAAGTTCTGATCCACACCTTCCAATCATTCCCCACCCCCCATCTATCTCCCACCTTCACCATTTATTCGTCAGAATTGAGTCCAGAAATTTGGGTCACTCACTGCTTCTTGGAACAGGGGCCTGGTAACACTGAGTCTCTATTGCTAGCATTGATATAATGCTCAGAACTGCCTCCAGGTCAGTGGCACAGCTAGGAACTGAGCTTGGACCTTGATCTCGGGATTTTTTTCTTGGTGACATTGTTGTCCCTCTTTGACAAGATCAGATGCTATATTTTTATGCACAGGACTAGAACTATGCCAGGTTGAGGCTTAAGGAGGGAAAACAAAAGAAATAAGAATGTAATTTGTTATTTATTTATTTATTTTGAGATGGAGTCTTATTCTGTCATTCAGACGGGAGTGCAGTGGCTGCTCCCAGTCACCGCAGACCTGACCTGCTGGGCTCCGGCGATCCTTCTGCCTCAGCCTTCCAAGTAGCTGGAATTACAGGCATGCACTACCATGCCCCGCTGATTTTTTGATTTATTGTAGAGATGAGGTCTCGCTGCCCGGGCGGGTCCCGAACCCGTGGGCTCAGGCAATCCACTCACCTCAGCCTCCCAAAGGCGCGGGATTACAGGCTGAGCCACCGAACCTGGCTTGTAATTTGTTTTAACCTTTGCTTCTGTTCATCTCCTACCTCCAACTTCACATGGAGGATTGGGGGGAGGGAAGAAGAACTAGAGCCAGGGGCGAGCTGGAGTAGATGTCCTTATCCACAAATAGGAGAGCTGAACCAAAATCACTGGCTTCATTCCTGTGGTCTCTTGGAGTTTCCAGTGAGCCATCTGGTCAATATCTTTGGTACTTCCATCTCTGGTAATTCAAAGTGATCACAATCAGAGCAGCTAACGCTTATGCAGCATTTGTCTTGTTCTGAGTTCAGTGCTTTACAAGCATTTAATCTCATTTAATTCTCCTAACGCCCCCCCGAGGGAGCTTCTATTATTATTCTCATTTTATGACTGAGGAAAATGACTCTTAGAAGTTCAATGATAGGTCCAAGGCCACAAAACAGGCTGGATTTGAACCCAGATGTGTTTGTCTCTAAAGTTGAAGATTGTAATCATGTCCCCAAATGGGCAAGTAAACAGTATTTTTGGGGTTCCCAGGACCTTTGGCGTTCCAAGGAATTCTGTCTTCCTGGGTCTTGGTGTCCTCAAAGAGCGTGTTTGTATGAGCAATGGTGTTGAAACACCTTCCACAGGCCTCCACCACATGTAAATACTTTGATATCCTGCTTAATGAAGGGCTATTTTAACGACTGCTTTTGTAGGTAATCCATCAGTTGCAGTTAGTAGCCCTGCTTAGTTATTTATGCTGCATGTTTTCCCTCCCCACCTCTTCTATTTCACCCCTTTTCTCTTCTTGCCACTCACCCCTAAGTCTGACTCACCAGAAAACCTAAAAGGGGGTATGGCTGGGAAATGATTCAGAGCTTTCTAGAAATTTTCTTGGGCAGATACAGCTTCTAGGGGATGCAGGGCATGGACTGGAGAAATTGTGACTGTGGGTGTGCCCCTCCTGGAAGCGCCTGAGTTTTCCTGAGAAAAGAGCCCTAGGGACGCACTGGAGTACAAGTACACGTCTGACTGCAGGTGTTTCATCATTGGCATGGAAAGCGTGACTGACCTTGTTCAGACAGCAAATTAGAGGCCTGGAGGATAAGCCAGGACCTACTCATGGGGCAGCTGGGAGACTCTCAGCCAGCTTCTCTGTGACTTCAGGGTGATCACTTCCACCTGCAAACTGAATCTGGGTCCCATGCACCCTTGAGGGATCTATGCCTCAGTTGACAGTATGTTGAACTGGATGAGATTCCAGATATCTGGGATCCTTTCTAGGCTCTGTCACTGAGCTAGCTGTGTGACTGAGGGCAAGCCTCTCAGCCTCTATCACCCTCCATCTCAAACATTTTAAAAAAATTTATCTAGAGACAGAGTCTTGCTCTGTTGACCAAGCTAGAGTGGTGTGATCACAGCTCACTGTGACCTCGAACTCCTGGACTCAGGCAATCCTCTTGCCTCAGCCTCCTGAGTAGCTGGGACAACAGGCACACACCACCACACCCAGCTAATTTTTTATTTTGTTGCAAAGATGAAGTCTTGCTATGTTGTCTGGACTGGTCTCAAACTCCTGGCCTCAAGTGATCCTCTGCCTCAGTCTCCGAAGTGCTAGGATTAAATCTTAACATAAAAGAATTAGACTTGCTAATTCGTGTCTATGGCTATTCCACATCCACCATTCAGTGATTCTACGTGAATTATCCAGGATTGCCTGGACAGTCAGTGGTGTCCTGAAGCAGCCCTTGAGTCCTTTTCTGCTGCAGTGTAGCCTGTCAGGTCAGGTCTAGGGGTTTTAACAATGGTTTTGGCAGTTGAGGGAAACTGCTAGGGGAGGGAGGGGCATACCTCATCAACAAGGATGATTAATGATTAATGTTTCTATACCTAACCCTGAAATGTACCCCATATCTTTATTAAAAAAACAACAACAACACAATGCCTTGGGCTGCTAGGTTGTCTGTCCCTAGCACAATTCTTTTTCCCATCTGAGGGGAGGAGGAGGAGATTGTGTTCATGGAGCTGATAGGAATGAACCATTCTTCAATTTGTGAAAGTTCATTGGCTTAATTCAAATGTCAACCTTTCCAGGTTTGGTTGTTTATTTGTAGTTGTCAAAAGCAATTTCAAATGGCAATTCCTGTCATTAATGATGGGGCGAAAAGCTAGGAGAAAAATTAAAAGGGGCGGCGGGATTTCCATCTATGTGGTGAATGATCTACTCGCACACAATCTCATACACACACTGCTATCTGTGAGGAAGGATGGTCACTGGAATACTGAGGAAGGAGGGAATTGTAAACACTGTGATATTGTGTCCTTCATTCCCGTGTGGTAAATAATGCTGCAACTTACTCTTAATTCTTATGCCTCTTTTTCTTTTTTCCTCCAGGGAGTGGTTTATTACTAATTTTTCTCTCTGCTGGGAAACCTTGCTTGACTTCCTGTCCAGAGTTTGGTGTCTGGAGAGGAGGAGAATTTGCTTTGGTGTCGGTGTGCAGAAATCAACCAGAATATTTTAACCAATATTCTTACAGGATTCCAGTCTGCTTGGCTCTTGGGAGCCCTATCTGATTCCAGGAGGATGTCTTTCCGGACAGATGTGATGCCTACCTTTCTTGTTACATGCACAGTGGAAAGGGAGCTTGGTCCCTCGGCTTGCATGGGTGGTTTTTGGGTGATGGTGGAATTCAGTGCTCCGAAACTGAGCACCTTTGGGGGCTTGCATGAACTTGGTAGTCATGCAAGGGCACATTGCACTGTGTGTGTGTGCTGCTAATGCTTTTCTTCCTTTCTCTCCCCCTCTCTCCTCTCCCTTTCCCTCCCTTTGAAAATGCTGCCACAGATGTCAGCCAAGGTCCAGGTGAGTCTTCGTGTTTGCACAGCTGCTATGGGAATTTCCCCTCTGCTAGAGCGTGCATGCTATGCTTTGAGTCTGAGTGAGACCTTTTTCCTGGGACAAAAATCCAAGTATATTGCATTTTCACAGATTTAGATTGAGAAGAGGTGCCATGAATTGATGGATTCATATTGGTTTTGAAGAACCATTTTAAAATCAAAAGAATATGGTTCTCATGCTTAATACAATCATTTCCTTCTGATTAATATTTCTGGATGATCCAGAAAATGAACATTTAAAAAAATATATTTTAAAATATGTTATTAAATAGGTATATTCCAATTTAATGAGCATTTTTGCCTTGTTTCCAACAAATCTACTCATCTTCTATAGCTTAATGTAGTTTGAAGTTGATGATATGGCATATTTAGCATGGAAAATGCAATGTGGGTGAAAGAAGTTTTCTTTCTTTTATTCTAAGAAATGTCTTTTTTTTAAAAGCAGTATTTATTTTTCCTGGTTATGTAAATAATACATGCTCACTGTGGAAAAAAGGGGGAATGATTTGAATTGTTTTTGTTGATGGAAAAATAGAAGAATTATCCTTACGATAATTATGCATTATTCTTTTTTTTTTTTTTTTTTTGAGTTGGAGTCTCACTTTGTCTCCCAGACTGAAGTGCAGTGGCCGCTCCCGGCCACCGCAGCCTCGACCTGCTGGGCTCCGGCGATCCTTCCGCCTCAGCCTTCCATGTAGCTGGAACTACAGGCCTGCGCTACCACGCCCGGCTAATTTTTTGATTTATTGTAGAGATGAGGTCTCGCCAAGTTGCCCAGGCGGGTCTTGAACCTGTGGGCTCAGACAATCCACTCACCTCAGCCTCCCAAAACGTGGGATTACAGGCTGAGCCACCGAGCTTGGCTGCATTATTCTTTTTAAAATGTATACTCATCCAGAATTCCTAACTCCAAGCATTGTGTGTGTTTGGAAACATATGTACACACATACATAGAATCATGTGAAATGATGCAGCCCTTTATAGGTAAGAAGTGTCAGGTGATTTAGAATGATCTGAAGACTATTCTAAATTGACTAGAACTTTGAGTTAAGAAGAATAATTAGCTCTACCCAATCAGAAAGGAGCATCATCTTAGGTATTTTCACATGTTCACTTGTTTAGTCCTTTGAAGTTTTAATCCTTATAGCATCAGTGCAAGATAGGTATTTTTATATCCATTTTAATGTGGAGGAAATTTAAGGCCCACCAGTTAAGCAGTTTTGCCCAAGGCCAATAGTAGCAATGGGATTTGAACTTAGCACTTCTGGCTCTAAAAGCCCATGCACACTTCATCAGAACATGCTGGGGCCCATCACTGAAAATTCTCAATGCTTGACGATCTCGTAAGTATTTCCTAATGGGACAATTGCTGATTTCTTTCTTTTTACTTAGAGGTAATAGGATAGTTTCTTTATTAGCAGCTTTCTTTCCAAGTGAATTGATCTTTAGTTGTTCTTGAATATCTAAAATTATCAATCAGACTTCATTACCGTCCTTCTGATCATTGTTCTATGGGATGTTACACAACATAAGAGAATAATAAACAGGGTGCCTGAATGAAACGTAATTGTACACCTAACCCTTAACTGTACCCCACAAAACCATAATAAAAAATACTGTTTAATTATTAAAAAAAAAAAAGAGAATAATACAGCTACCCTACTTACTGCAGAGTGTGTCTGTGTCTCTTTTTTTTTCTGCCTGTCCCCCGCCTTTTAAAATAATTGGTGTTTGAACCAAAGTACAGGGCAGCATTTCCTAAGATACCATTAAACTCATTATTTCTATTGAATAATATTTTAGTTCAGTCATTCACTCAACAAATATTTATGTTCCAGGAATAGTTCTAGGCAATGAGGACAAAACAGTGAAAAAAACAGAAGACAATCAGTGCCTTCATGAACCTTTTATGTTTGGCAGGGCAGACAAGAACGAAAACATACACACAGACCTATATACACATATTATACATATATACATACATAGATAGTCCCACACATGCATGCATACTATGTGTGTGTGATATTTACATCATGGAGTGGATGATAAGTGTCATGAAGAAAAATGAAGCAGGGTAAGGGAGAGGTCCCTAAGTTGCAGAGGGTGGCCAGGGAAGGGATGCTTCAAGGAGGTGAGGAAGGGAGCCCAGCACCTCGAGTTGTGTGTGTGAAAGTGTCATTTGGCTTAATTTTTCCTCCTGGTGCACAGCAGAGATGTGACCAGGGGTCACCACATAGAATTGTGCATGTTGGGCTCTGCGTAGGGTCCCAGCTGAGGGATGAATGGGGCAGAAATCCAGCCTGCATTCCTCTTGTCAAGGCTGCGCCATGGGACTGCCTCTGACCAGAAGGGTACCTTTTTCTAATCCACAAAAAGGCGCCGTATTGGTCCTGAATGAAATAGTGTGGTGGAGTGAAACATGCTGGACCCATGGCCTTCTTCGATCCCCTCAAAGGGATAGAGGTAAAGTTTCCTCAAATAACAGCAACTATAATCAGCCCCACACAGTACCCTTTTAACTTCACAACTGTTATCTCATTTTTACCCTCTGAGGTGTGTGGCCTGAACCCCATTTTAGGAAGCTGAGGCCCAGGGTGGTTCACCATTGGGATGAGATCGCCCAGTTGTGAAGCAGCAGGACCAAGGGGAGGTTCCAGCTACTTCCAGAGCGCGTGCTCCTCATTCTGCCCTTGAAGTGTCAAAAGCTGAAGGCCGATCTTGTGGGCCCACCATCTCCTTGCTTTCTTGTGGTTTCTGAACCCGAAGCACATCCCTGGCTTGGACCCTTTCCTTGGGGCCCTGGATGTGGCAGGAGGTGGCTTGAGCCTGCCGGGCCCCCGCTGAGGTCAGGGGTCCTTTTGCCTTTCTGAGGCCCTGGCTGGGCAGTCTGGAGCCAGCTGCACTGTGGTTCTGAAATAAGAAACCTTTAGTGGTTCTCTGATTTTTTTCCCTTCCCCTCAGGAAGACAAATTGGGGATTTTATGAGCTAATGTAACTATTTACCCAGAGGCCGCTAGAAGACTATAAAGGGACGATTGATTAATTGATTAATTTTACATGTAGAGGAGATGGGCTAGAAGTAACCCTACTGTAAAACGCAATCTGAGCTGGGGCCTGCCCAGCCATACCTTCCCCAAGGTCCCTGGGACAGGCTGGGGACTCAGAGAGTGAGCCCTGTGACAGCCAGGAAAGAAGGGGCAGGCACGTCACACTCCACTTCCATGTGGGAAAATCCACAGCCCCTCCTCCTAGTCTTTGGGAAGGAGGTTCAGGGTAATAGAATAATAATAAGCCTGTGGTGTGCTGAGATAAGGGAGCTCAGCTCTTCCTCCTTCCATGGGTTCTTTTGTTTAACTCTTCCTGTCAACCCCCAGGTAGATACTACCATCCTCATTACAGGGAGAAAAGGACCCTCGTGGTCATCAGTAACTTGCCCACAGTTGCCTCCTGCTAGGGACTAGACCAGGATTTCAGTCCAGCTCCCTGCTAGACTAGTCTAGGATCTTGGATCTGGTCCCCTGATAGTGACTAGGCCAGTATCTCAGATCCAGCTCCCTGATAGTGAGAAGGCCAGGATCTTGGATCCAGCCTCTTGCTAGTGACTAGACCAGGATCTTGGATCCAGCTTCTCAGTAGTGAGTAGGCCAGGATCTTGGATCCAGCTTCTCAGTAGTGAGTAGGTCAGGATCTTGGATCCAGCTTCTCAGTAGTGACTAGGCCAGGATCTTGGATCCAGCTTCTCAGTAGTGACTAGGCCAGGATCTTGGATCCAGCCCGCTGCTAGTGACTAGGCCAGGATCTTGGATCCAGCTTCTCAGTAGTGAGTAGGCCAGGATCTTGGATCCAGCGCGCTGCTAGTGACTAGGCCAGGATCTTAGATCCAGCTTCTCAGTAGTGAGTAGGCCAGGATCTTGGATCCAGCCCCTTGCTAGTGACTAGGCCAGGATCTTGGATTCAGCTTCTCAGTAGTGAGTAGGCCAGGATCTTGGATCCAGCTTCTCAGTAGTGAGTAGGCCAGGATCTTGGATCCAGCCCGCTGCTAGTGACTAGGCCAGGATCTTGGATTCAGCTTCTCAGTAGTGAGTAGGCCAGGATCTTGGATCCAGCCCGCTGCTAGTGACTAGGCCAGGATCTTGGATCCAGCCCCCTGCTAGTGACTAGACCAGGATCTCAGATCTTTCTGTCTCCAGAGTTGGGCTCTTATTCTTCTAGACCCTGCCATTTCCACCACAGAGCTCTGGGCCAGACTGTGTCCTTTTCGCATCTGTATTTCTAGCTCTTCACCTGGCACATGGCACACAGCAGAACTTCAAAAATCTCTGTTGGACGGGAAGTGTGGCCACAAACACACCATGAGTCTGTAGTGTCCTGAGACGTGTCAGAGTTTAAAGAGCATGCTCTCCAAGGAGTGCCACTCGTTTACTTTTCAGAGGAGGAAACTGAGACCCAAGAAGGGAAGGGACCTTGCCAAGGCTGTGTGACCCATGTGTGGGCTGGAAGGGACTCCTGTCAGGTGTCGTATCCTGTGCTTCTGCACACTAGGAGTTCACATTGGTCTCCCTGGGCTGCTTGTGGGGCAGGGTGGGCACTCCCAGCTCTGCCCCGCATTCAACTCTCTCCCCACTTCCATGTGTTCTAGAACTCTCTGCCAAGGGGAGAGAAGGCCATTTGGAGGTGAGGAAGAGGAAGGGTAGTGGGTCAGAGCACAGGGCACAATGCGGGGGCCTGTGGTGTGAGATCCCTCCTCTGCCCTCCCTTTGCATGGAGGGGCTTTTTATGGTGCTCCAGTGACAGCCTCTCTCCTCAGAAGGGATAATTTCTCTGGCTCTGCCTGCTGATTAGAGCTGGAATTTAAATGAATAACTGTGACCTTGTGGAAGTGCCCTAGTTATTCAGAGGCCCAATGAGGAAATAGGCCTCTTGCTTCTGTCCATCAGAACCCTGGCAGGCATGGGGGGAGGGCCT